TTACTTCTTCTGGGATGAAGTACACCCAACGCAAGCCGGCTGGGAGGCTCTAACTCGTTCCACAACGTTACAGGCTAACCTTGATGACCTACAAAGTTAGTTAGCTAACTGCTAGCTAAGCTTGGTTCATCCTTGCCACGGAGAATGGTCAATAATGTTCCTAAAAAGAATAAAATTGTACAAGTGGTTGTAAAAATTGCATGTATTTGGTGTACGTTTATTACTGAAGTTTTGTGTCTTTGTAGGTTAATGTCCTTAATGTGATTCTTTGTTATTAATTGATTTGTTATCACATATTCACATCTATGTTGTGGGATTATTATCGCATGACACATAGTTTTAATGTGTGCGTTCTCTACTTCTAAAGCAAATTTGTTATTGGTGATGTAAAAAGTGATTGAGTATATGATAATATTCTCTAGTACATATTATGTGGATATAAAAAGTGACACTTAAAGAAGAGTTAAATGGAAGTCTAATATGCTTCCCTAATGGACAAGAGTAGCAAAAGTGGGATTTATCCCCATTATTACATTGAATTAAATTCCTAGACTTTGGATAATTGAAAACTGGGGCTCCGGGATGACCAAGGCAGCTGTGTCAAACTGAAGGAGAGATAGTAGCTAGAGAGAGATGTTCATTGTGTGATGCAGCGGAAAGAGAAAGAGAATGAATAGAGGTTCCCACCACTATTGCACCTCGCTAGAGGTCTCCATACTGAGATCCTTCATAGAAAAACCGAAAAGGTCAAATTAAACTCAACATAAACCGAATTGTCACTAGCAAACTTCCTAATAGAAATTAAGTTTTTCATTATATAAAAGTATAAAGGACATTCTTAAGGGTGAAGGAAGGATGAGGGGAAGGGGTGGTAGTAGTGACATAGCCTTGAATTGGAATGCGTTTCCGTCACCAACTAAAATAAATTGAGGATAGCTCAAATGCAAAAATTTAGGAAGATTACCTGCATTATGAGTAAGGTGAGATGAGGCAGCAGTATCCATGTACCACACATTTTCGGGTTGCTGAAGTTGCATAAAGCTATAAGCCTGGCCGAAGTCTATTGGAGACATCAAGGGCCCAAAGTGAGCCTGTTGAGGTGCTGGGCTGAAGTAAGCTTGTTGTTGGGCTGGACGTTGGCCCAGGATACCTTGTGAAGGTGGCATGTACTGTTGGGCCGGACCAGTAGGATACGGACATGGGGGAGATGCCCACTGGCCCGGTTGTTGCTGCTGCCATGGTGCTCGGTCGGCCCACTACTGAGGTGCACCTTGGCCTATTGGCCACTGCTGTTGTTGTTGGGAATTACGAACCTTCAGCGGACTGACTACCCGAGTTGGATTTTTCACCTCTGCCACGACCTTTCCCACCCTTAGACTAGTTCGGCTTTCCATGAACACGACCAGCACCCCGGCCACCGCCACGTGGCTGTTGATCGGATTGTTGTGGCGGTGCGGGGGTGGTGGACGCAATGGAAGAAGCATTTTGAGTTACTAGGGCATATTGGCTTTGCTCCTCTTGTTTAGCCTTTCTCGTTTCTTCCAATAAAAATTGTGAACGAGCTTTGTTAAAAGTAGGCATAAGTTTAGCCTGATGGATCATAACAGTAAGGGTATCGTGCTCACCCTTCGACAACCCCTTAATGAGTTATAACAACATTGACTTGTCCGAGACCGGTCTATCAACATTAGCAAGTTGATCAGCCAATAGTTTGATGTGTTTGCAGTAGTCCGGCATGTTAGCAAAGTTCTCAAGGCGTGTGTTGGTGAATTGTTCCTCTAAGTAAACAGCACGAGTGTATTTATTGTCATGAAAAATCTCCTCCAACCGAGCCCATAATTCGAGAGTCGTAGCACCCGATTTTATGGTTGTGTGAACCAAATCCCGAGAGATTGTTCCATAGAACCATTACTTGACAATGGCATCAAGACGTTTCCACATAGAGGAATCAATTTCTATGGGGCGAGGGACAGTAGCATCAATGTGATCTAGAACATTAAATGCACAAGCATGATTTTGGAAGAGCTCAACCCAAGTGGCGTATTGGCTTTCCTCCAGATCTAAGGTAACAGACATGAGGTTTTTGATATTAGTGACTGCATAAGCAGGATGAAAAGAAGAGGATGGAGGGGGAGGAGGGTTTGATTCGCCATGGTTGAGGGAGGATTCGTTATCAGTGTGAGTCATGATGATGATGAACGGTGAAGGAGGCTAGGGCACGGATCGTTAGGGTTTAAGAAAAATTGAGAGAGAATTTTCCTATAGGCTGTGATACCATGTAAGTGTGTAAATCTCATTGAGTATCATATTCTCATTAAACAATATAGGGATTACAACTTAATCTATGAGAATATAAGATATACATGAATACACACAAAAGATATCCACATAATATATACTAGACAATATTATCATATACTCTATCAAAAGAATGGATTAATAAGATATGAAAGTTAGTATGATGATTAAATTGATCAATAGACAATAGTTTTAGAGGGTTACTAAAGATGATTTTGCTATATAAATTTGCAATAGATATAAAATTGACTCGATGTTGATTTGAGTTGGTGGAGTAGCGGTATATTATGCTGGTATTAATTAGTATATCACTTCCCACCTCAAATCCTCTTACCTTAGAAAATGACTAGTCCGTTTGGAATTTTTCCGACCTAAACAGGCTAAATAAAACTAAACAAGTTATGTCGGGAACAAGACTGGCTTGACTAGCTACAGGCATATTAATTAGAACTAGCATTTTGGCCCGTTCGATGCACGGGTTGTTACTTATATTATTTTTATACGTATATCATCAACTTCATACCCAGGTTTAAAATACTTCCACCAGCAACACCACCACGTATATCATCAACTTCATACCCAGGTTTGTTAACATCAAAAGACCGAATCACAATCATAGTTGGTGGTGAGACGAAATTTTTCTCAGGGATAGGAATCTTTTTGACAATGTTTTCACACACAACATCGATGTTGTACTTCAATTGACCAGAAATTGGAATTACAGGGGCTTCAGCAGCAGCAGTTCCCTAAAGAAAACAATACCGCATCAGAAACACTGAAACATGCTTCAGCCTTCCAAGTTCCAACTAAATGAATTTGGACCATGGTCAACGAGTTCAACATTCTAAACAAGTTACCTGAATAAAATTCTGAATAGCTTCATGCTGATTCAAAGCAACATTTTCTGGGATGAGATCAACCTTATTTTGGAGGATGATAATATGCTTAAGTCGCATGATCTCAATTACAGCAAGATGCTCAGAAGTCTGGGGTTGGGGACAGCTCTCATTAGCAGTAATAAGAAGCAAGGCCCCATCCATAATAGCAGCTCCATTAAGCATAGTAGCCATCAGAATATCATGACCCTGTCATTAAGAATTTCAGATACATAAATCACACAAAACTGGTGTAAAATGGAGATGCTCAAGGTCTAAGGCTAGAGATAATCCACTTATAACATAGCATGCTATCCAATCTTCAATAAACAGCAATATTGATGTCAGTTATTTAGAAAAAGGACACTAGTGTGCCAAATCAAAGTCGAGAAAGTGCAAAGGTTGTAGTTGTTAAGCAATACTTTTTTTAGATGGAACAACTCTTATAAATTAGCTAGTTTAGCTCCACCTCCTTAAGCAAAATTCAGACTAATTATTACCTAGTCTACATATACTAGCCCAAATGAGGCTAGAGGAGGGGTAGGACCCAAACTAGGTTGGGATATGAGAATTGAATTCATAACTTTAAGGTTGGGATGTTAGATATTTACCATTGAGCTCCCACATGACTCAATAATATAGGATTTTTTTATCTAATTTTCTACACGAACATGGCAAGAAAAAATAAAGTTTGATTGCTCCAACAAAGATAATCAAATTCATAGCATAAAAGCATACAACTAATCTATAAATGCAAACTAAAAATACCCAAAATGTCCTACATAAACATGATTAATCAAATTCTCCAAAGCTAAGTTGTTGCTTGTCCCAAGCAACACTAGACTCAAAACTGAGAAACAAAACAAATAGGAATTCATAAGATCGACACAATTCTCGAGCAAACAATCAACCAAAGTTATGAACACAAAATCCTAGTAGCAGCAATAGATTACTGGGCAATCGACAAAGGACACATGTCTCAGAAGCTTCATCCTAGCATTCTCGAATCCAGGTACATCACACATTGGGGAATCTTCCTTCCCACTTCCATATGCCCTGCAAAAACAGTTTGGCCAGTATGTCACCAGCAAATCCAAAATTGCAACACATGAAATAAACTTTAGGATAAAATCATTCATCTTCAACAAACAACCGCAATAGAATAGGTGGTTTCCAAAGGGTGCATCCATCTCTACTAGTTAGTTATACAACAAGAATCCATCAATTTATGATTGTTGAGCTAATAAGCTCCGAATAAGAGAGAGGATAATAGATGTCAAAGGAAAAGAAACGAAAGGCATCATCACAATCATCACACCAGTGGATTGTTGAGGTAAAACAGATAGCATACTTGTAGCACATGGGTCGAGGGCATCTTTCGTCAACACATTTATAAATTTTGGCATTAGCATAGCCAAGTTTGATAGTGATATTTCGCTCGAGCTCATTCTTGAATCGTACAGTCTGCATAATAGGAAGAAACACAAAACAAAACAAACAACATCCCAGTTAACAACAAGAATAACCTCCACTGCTCAAATTACATTAATATGTAGAGTAAAAACAAATACAAATGATCAGCTCATACATACTTAGTCTATTTTTGGCTAAAATGCAAAGCGTTAGTGACTAGAAAATATTTTACTTATGTTAAACCATCATCATCAGGCTATAAATTTCAGTATTAAGTCAACACCCATCAAAACCATGTATAAAGTAGCAGAGATGTACCTGAACACCAGATAAAGCCTTCACAACAGTCGACTTTCCATGAGCCACATGACCAATAGTTCCTATGAATATGCGGAGTAATAATGAATATCATGACGAGAATATTTCAAATTTACAAGATAAACAATGCAATTCTCAAAGTACATTAATGATCAAATGTATATTACCAATATTAATGGTGGCCTGACCTCAGGTGAAAGCGGATGTAGTTTTGTTACATCCAACTTGCTCAAGTCTTGTTCCATCAGCCCTTTTCGTGCCATTCTCAACCACCTGAACAATTGTCACCTCATTACTAAGGGTAAGGCTAAGTTATGAAAAACACGGCTACATCCATTAAAATTGTTTCCTCCAGCTTAAGCCTTTTACCAATATCCAGATTACAAACTTCAGTAAATTGTCGGGCGGTGATGAGAGTGAGACGCGGTGGAGAGGAGGTGACGCCGGTAGACAGTGAAACGGTGAGAGAAGTCGGAGATGCATGATTACGAGTATTTTTAATTGAAAATTCTGTGCTCCATATTTGTTTTTTTTTGTTACTCCGTTTAAAATAAATGTGACAAGGGATTTTGGAGAGAATCATATACAGTATAATTTTTTTCTATTAAATCAATCTAGTATTATCTCCATTCATAAGCAAATTTCGTTCTTTTCTCCCGTTTCCCTCTCTTCCCCTTCTCTTCAAACTCCTTGATCCTTCGTCTTCAAGCTCAGACGCTCTCTCAGCTATGGATTCCGACTCCGACTCCGACTTGGACTCCGACTTTGAATCCGACTTCAGTGACTCCATCTCAGCCAAAACCAAGAGAGGAGGGAAAAAGAAAACCAACAAAGTAGAGAAAAAGCAAATCAACAGAAGAGCGAGAAAAACTAAAGCAACACCTGAACCTTCTTTCAATCACTCGACTACTACTCAAACTACGACTACCACTACTACCGACGATAATTCGGAAATCAAAGTTTCGATGTTTGATTATTCAATTGAGAATCATTTTAGGTTTATTGATTCAATCAACAAGCTTTGCGGTCGAGGTCAAAATTCTAGTTTCATTGATGCCGAAGTTCAACGCCTAGCATCTACAATTACTTACCTCAGGTAATAATTTTAATTTAATTATGGGTACATATTATGATGAGATTATTTTTTGGAATAAATGAATAATACTGTACTGTTAGTGTAGAAAAATTGACTGGACTTGAAAGATGGAGGATATTGTATGCAATTATATAATGTGAGCGGTTAAGACGGAGGGTCTGTGTACGATAAGTGTATGTGGCTTTAGCAAGTTTTTCGGCGAATATGCTGTAAATTATAGAGCTTATGAGAATTGAAACAGATAGAATTTGACTAACTTGTGAACAAGATTGTGTGTACGACGCGAAAACTCCAAAAGATGGGGTGTATATAATGAAACCTTATTGAACACAATGTGTTGTGCCTTGAATTGTTCTTTTTTATTTTTATGCTTTGAGTTAGAGACCTTGATATGGGTTTTTGAGTAGGTGACATGCGATTGAATAATTGCCTTATTAGTTGATGCACATTTTCTAGTTCTTTCCTCCTCTTTACCGCATTCCTGTATAATGAAACCTTATATGTGTGCGTGTAGTGAATGGAGGTATTTCAATTACAAACCAAAAACTATTCGGTTTGATTCTGAAATAGGACATCCCGATGGCGATAAAGCTCGTAATGATATAACTTTATCTCAATTCTCAGCTGCTATGGTGCCAAAGTGTGATACGGAGGTAATCCTTGCTCGCAGAATACTTTGATACTGCATTGTCAAGCAATGACTTCCTGGTGTTGTATTTAATTATTTATCTTTTGCGTTTCAGGCGGAGAAAGTTCCTGGTGCTGTGTTGTCTACTGATTCCAGGTTTGCTATATATAATAGTCACGTATTGTTGTAATTTGTCTGTCCCAATATAACTTCGTCATTGAACCTAAATGGAGTGAGACCACATGCTATTGTACCTTTGTGGACCTACTGAAGGCAATATCTATCTAGGATGTTAAAGAACTTGAGCGTGAATGGCATAATACAGTTTCAAGTCTTCAACTTTCTAGAGAATTATGAAGTATTTTTTTAATGGATACGGGCCAGTATGTTATTTTAGTGCAGTGCTGCTTTTTATTTGATCATATGTTAAATATTTATTACTCCGTATTAAAGATATCTAAAGTCTATATCATAGTCTTCTTATTTACAGCCTTACAGCTTAACAATTGCTAGTTGCTTGGTTTTAAAAGGCATGAAGTGCACTATGGTGGTAGGGTTCTTAGAGTTTAGATATGAGGTGAGGGGCAAGGCAAAGTGAGGTGTACATTTTTTTTTTTGATGATTTTACAGTCCTTTATTAAAAAAATTTACCCTGAATTATATTTATGCAACTCAGTTATGAACTTCGTTTTCCATAGTGACGTGTTATTTATATTATATAACATTGAAGATTTGGACAATAAATTTATATTTATCAGACTTGAGCTACTACCATTTACGAGGCATGAGCTTTGGCACGCCTCAAACATGGATCACTATAGTTGCCTAGTCTAAAGCAATAAAAGCAAAACTGCTGTGTCTCTGGTGCTTTTGCATGCCTTAGATCCTTTATGTACATATTCATACTTTATTGCATTTAAATATGCAATATTTGTCCCTAAATTTGAGCTTGTTGCAGGAAAGACTTTGTATTATATGTTGGTGGACTAGTTTGGTCGTTGGATTGGTGTCCTAGGACTGATCAAGGAATAGAATCTGGTGTAAAATGTGAGGTAATAGCATGGTTCCTCACACTTCTTCCTATTTACAATTACTTTTTTTTTGTAATATTTCTTTGTAAGTTTTTTTCTTCTCTTGGTTTATACTGATGTGTAGGAAGCAAGCATGTTATGGTCTAAGTACTATTTCTTATAGGTTTTTGCTTTGTTTACATTCTCCACCTTTTGTTTCATCCTTTTCGCCTGACAAGCATGTATGCAATTCTATTTTCACGATCATAGTATGTTGCCAGTGAGGAATCCTTGTGGCTGTTATTCTAAATCAAGAATGATTTGGAGTTGGCTGACATGAATTGTCATAAGAAACTGCTCTCGAAAATTGAAACAAGAAAAGTAAAGAGATAAGTCAAAGAAGATAAATTTAAAAAGTGGGAAACTGAAAGTGGGGAAAGTCAGACAATAGAAAACATATGTAGCGAGAAACGAGGGCAGTGTAGAGTGGAACTCAAGAAATGAGGATACTTAATAAAATTTGAGGAAATCTTACAAAAGAGGGCTAAGAGGAGATGTAAAGAAAGGGGAAAAGAATGGAAGGAAAACAAATGTGAAGAAAACATATGAAAAGGTTTGAGAAAACTACTACTCTGCTTAATTTAGTCACGCCTTTTCACAAATGTGATGAAAACAAATGAAAAGGTTTGAGAAAACTACTACTCTACTTAATTCAGTCGTGCCTTTTCTGCTCCAATGCTTAAAACTAAACTACTAATTTTATGGCGTATTTCTTTCAATGAAACTTAAAAAAGTGAGGGTGGAGCACTAAAACATTGAAAAGATTTTCAATCACCATGCCATGCTTTTTCAGGAGTCTCAAGCCCCATAAGTTGAGTACAATGTTATTCTCAATATCTCATTCTTATACAGGGCTCATTTTCTTTTTGTTGTCTTGTCTGTCAGTTTCTTGCTGTTGCTGCCCATCCTCCTGATTCAACATATCACAAGCTAGGAGATCCCCTTAATGGACGAGGGATGATTCAGATTTGGTGTCTATTAAACTCTACAGAAAAGGAAGCTATGCAGGCTTCTGTAGGGAGCATAAAACGGAAATATCAAACGAATAAAGCTGCAAAAAAGGGAGAGAGTAATGTCAGCAAACCTGTAAGGCCTAGAGGAAGACCTAAAAAGAATCCAATAGAGAAACCTGCCACTGATCCTGAAATGCAGATCAGTAAAGATCTTGTTGTGCAGCTTCCAGAAAATACCATGCTGAGTACTCACTCCTCCCAGGACATATCAACTCCCATTAGTCGATCAAAAGAAAAACATCAAAATGTTATGGTTTCAAAGGAAGAAAATAAACAAAAGAAACCCAGAGGAAAGGCTAGAAAAAATCCAATAAGTAGTTCTTCAATTGAAGATTCTGAAGGCCAGTTTATTCCAGCTCTGGCTGTTCAGCTTCCAGAGCATTCATTAAATGTGCCTCCTGTGGATGAATATATAGTCAATGACCCTTCTGCAAAAAAAGTAAAGAAAAGAAAAAGGAAAGATGTTCATAATGATATTATTACAATGAATGAAATTGCTGGAATATCCAATTCTGAAGGGCCGTCTTTTCAAGTTCTTGCCACTGAAATTCCAGAAAGTATGAAGAATATATCCCCAACTGAAGATAGCTTATTGAATACTTCAGGGCCTCTTGAAGAAACTGGTAAAAGGCGTACCAGTAAAAGAGTACTTGGAACTGATCTGGATTGCACTCTTGCAGTGTTGAGGAGAAGGTCTAGAAACAAGTCAAAAACATGTAATAACTTAGATCATGACAACATTGGGTTGCCAACAGAAAATTTGGGCGAAGGACCTTCTTTAGCAAGTATAGAAGAAAACCTCTGTCAAAAAGACAATATGGTATCGAAAGAACATGTCGTGGGTGACAGTTGTCTTGGTTCTGGTGACAGTCATGTCCTAAAGGATGATGTTCTTCCTAGAGTTGTCTTGTGCCTGGGTCATGATGGAAAAGTTGCATGGGACGTGAAATGGCGGCCCCCTAATGCTGATGAGTCTGTTAATGAGCATAGGATGGGCTATCTTGCTGTTGTTCTTGGGAATGGATCTGTGGAAGTGTAAGTATCTTATATCTCCTTCTCATCTGCTTATACAGTTTAGTGATGTTTTTGAGATTCTTCAATTTCTTTATCGCATTTAGAAATCAGGCTATTATCTCAATTCTGTAATATTATCTCCCCTGTCCTTTTGTTTGGTTTGCACAAATGTTAAGACATACAGTATCACGGTGCAACTTTTTTGAGTTCTTGGTGATCGTAATGGGTGGTCCCTTCTTCCATATTGGTGGCAAAAGTTTAAGTCATGTTCTAGATCCGCAACTTTGAACATGGCCAGTGAGTACAGGCAAGAAAAAAGTAGTTGCCCCTCAGCAGAATTTAATTGTGCATGTGTCAATTTTGAATTATCAAGACAACGCGTTAAAGCGATGTGTGTTCAATGAACAATAGGCCTAATGAGAAGTTTTGATCCTCACTGACTACATTCCTAACTAAAATTGAATGTGGTTTAAAGGCTTATAATTGATTTGTGGCACATGATTCTTTAACATAGTAGAAATCTTGAAATGACTATGTCCAATGGTTGATGTGTTAAAAATGCCCAATAAGAATGGTTGGGTAGCTTGCAAAACTCAAAAATAATGTATATTTTTTACCACGTCAATTCCCCTGGAGGTTTGATACAATTGAATCTTATCAGTTCAGTCAGTGAATAGCACTCCAGCTAAGAATTATTGTAATTAGTTGACTGCCAGCCAACTTGAATTATAGAAAAGATTTAGACTAAACTAAATAAACAGTGAAAATTGACCTCCTGTTGATTGAGAAAGTAGTCGTTCTCTTCCGATCCAAAAAAAAAAAAAAAAAAAAAAAAAAGTAGGGTGGATATGGATCCACAAGTAAAGCTTTACTTATGCTGGAGTACATAACTCTAGTCTAGAAAAAAGTTGTTGAGCGGGCAAAAGCTTCTTCAATTAGAACTTACTACTTCGTATATTATTTTGATCGGCGGATTTCAGTAATTAATGAGTTCATTGAGGCCAAATCCCTGCTTGTGATATCTGTTTTAGGTTCTGTTTAGTTCATGTCATATTCTCTTATCATGAACTGCATTCTATAAACCTTGTCTTTAGTGTCCCCCTTACCAAACACATAGTAATGTCTTCTGTGTGTTGTTGTGTTAATATGACACCACAGTATTGAATAATCAACTCGGTTTTACACTCATTTATACGTATTATGCTTCTGGAATGCCTGATGTTGTGTTGTAACATTCTCCTTTTTCATAACTTCTAAAACTGGCAATCTTAACACTTTACTTCTACAGTCTTGTTTTAGTTTTAGTTACATCTCTTACATCATTTGCAGGTGGGAAATTCCTTCTCCTCAAGTAATTAATCGTATTTATGCATCTCGACATGCAAAAGGCATAGATCCTCGAGATCCTCGTTTTGCTAAATTGAAGCCAGTATTTCGATGCTCCGTATTGAAGTATGATGATAGACAGAGGTAAACTACACCTGATGTTTGTGTGTGTGTGTGTGTGTGTGTATATATATATAAACCCCTAAGAAATTTATATGGATGGTGAGATTTTTTTACTTTATAAATTTTCTTATGTATATTTTAGCCTTTGACAATCTTCAAATTGTATAATGTCGAATGTCTCTTGAGATTTATGCTTTGCGAGGTATGAGAGCTTTTTATGTAAACGAAATGCTCTATACTTTTATAAATGTATAAGATCTTAGAAATGCTTTTGGACACTAAGGATCAGAAGTCATGATTTGTGGAACTATGTGTAGCTAACTGAACCTCCATTTTCCAAAATTGTATGAATAAAAAAGTGATGCAAACCTGTTTAGCTATGTGACCTATTCTGATTTTATTATATCATTTATCAATTATATTTTTTTGGGGTAGGTGGATAGAGAAAGTCTGACTTAATCCAGCAGCATCATATCATTCATGCATAGACTCAACGTGTACTGTAGCTATGAGGGGCAAAGGGGATTGTGTTATAAAATTTATATAACTTTCTATTTTCTGTAAATTAGGACATCTGTAGACTGTAAACAGGCTTGCTAGTTATTGTAGTAGATAGATGGTGATTTTGCTATACATATTGCTGGACATTTATTAGTCATCATTTTTTAAGATATACAACTTTTAAGTGTATGTATTCTCATGTATATGGCTTTTTTGGCAGCTTGTGTTTAACTTTTGTCAAATTTGCAGTATGCCTCTGACTGTGGAATGGTCGGCTTCCCCTCCACACGATTTTTTATTGGCTGGATGTCATGATGGAGTGGTAGGAATTCAGTCAATTTTGTGTTACATGTCAATGACTAGGCATTCACCTCATCATAAACTCTCTATTTACTCGCTCAAATGCCCCCTTAATTTTATATTGATGGCACTGAATTGGTTGATTATGATTTTTAGCTATTCTGCAAGTCTCTCCTAAAGGAATAGATGATTACTGCACCCCCCACCCTCTCTTTTTTTTTTTTTTTTTTTTTTGGGTATGTTCTTATTATTGGTGCTTCTAATTATAATTCTTTTTGCAGGTTGCTCTGTGGAAGTTTTCTGTAGATGTTCAGTCTGAAGGTACAGTTACTATGAGTGATTGACCTAGGCTCCTGTCATCATTTCCTTTCCCTTCCTCGTTAATTTCAAATTAAATATAATTATTTTTCTAATTTGCAATTTAAGTTTGCCACAATAGGGCTAAGTTAGCTAGGGGATTGAGCTAATGTTTATTCAGTTTCACCTTCCTGTTTGCATTGTAACACTGCTTTTCTCTACAGATGCCAGACCTCTGTTGTGCTTTAGTGCAGAGACAAGTCCTATTAGAGCCCTTTCTTGGGCCCCGTTTGAAGGGTAAGTGTATTCGATTGATATTTTTTTCCCCTTCCTAGTTGAAGCAGGATAAATATTGTAGAGATGGGCAGTGATTACTTTAATTGAGACAAAAGCTGAACCACTTTTATTGATGAGCAATAGCAGAAATGTTGTTTCCATGACACACTTGATCAGAATTTAGCAAGCAACTTCGCAATATTTTAGAAGCATACTGCTTTAATGAAACTTTTTTTTAAAAAAATAATTTTCTTTTTGTTATAGTGTGCCAGTGAATTTTTTTTGTTTTTATTTTTTTTTTTATTTTTATTTTTTTTTATACTTGTTAACTTCACTTTTATCTTCACTTTCATTTTTAGTGACCCAGAGAGCTCAAATATTATTGTCACTGCTGGGCATGGAGGGCTGAAGTTTTGGGATTTGCGGTAATGTAGCAACTTCAAACCTTTAAGTTCTTCATTTTGCAATAACGGTAGAAAGATATTTTGTGATAGCTTGTATGTGCCACCTTATTGTGGGTCTAAAGTGCACCTTCCTAATTCAGTACTCACTTCCCTCCAAATAGTGAAAAAATAGGAGAGATATTGTGTCTAAAATTTTCCCTTTGTTTAATTCTGGGCCTTGGCTTCTCTAGTTCTTATATATACTGCAAGTCTGCAACTAATTAACCCGTGAGTACTTCTATTTACCTGCAGTGATCCATTCCGGCCTTTGTGGGATGCAAATCCTTCTCAACGTTTCATATATGGTCTTGATTGGGTGCCTGATCCAAGGTATGATAAAGTTCTACTAATTCGATGGAATATATTTGTAGATGAATTATAAACTTATTATTACTGCACTATTTTTGTTATTATTTTCTTTTTGAGAAAATATTTGCCTACTTTGTCCTATTAGATAATTTATGTGGGTCTGTCAAAACTGATCTTTGTATTGTTTTGGACTAGCAAGGGTAAGACTGAGTAAATCTGGTCATCCAAAACCCTTTCTTGTAGCATGATCGACTCATAATTGTTGATATGTTGTTTCTAGTACTTTCTTACCCTGATTTCTTGAAACATTGAAAAAGGGTGTAATACCATCCAACGTATCTCCACACTAGTGCTCATAGGCTGGGGTTTGGTATACTTGTTATTTTGTTAACATGATTAGCAGGAATATTTTTTCATAACAAATGGTATAGTACTCCATCCATTACATATAATGTTTGCAACTTTACATAAACATTATTTACAGAATGTTGCCCCTTCCCTTCATCTTTTAGTTAAAGTGTATTGTGTGAGATGGACTCACAAATTAATTGGGAAGAGGCTCACCTCACACATCTGCCAAAATTACTCCTGTGTCCGTCTGTTTCCCATATGAACCAATTCTTCCTTTGTTACTATGGAGAATGAACTAACCAAACAAAACTCTCCAAAATCTGAAAAATTCTTACAACTTCTTGATTCTGGTAAAATAATATTCGAATCTTTTCTATTATTCTCAATGATTCAGACCGGCCCCTACTTCTCTCCTCAACGCTCATGACTGTCGCCAAATAAGTCACCAGTTGATGAAAAGGAGACCAACTGTTCGTTGCCGGTGATGTCCTCCAAACCCAACTATCTTTTGTCCAGAATCAATCAAACATATCTGAAAACTAAGCTAAGCTGATGGTTTGGTTTGTACGGGGCTTTATCAAATACAAGTGAGGTTATAATGTTCGAAATTTGAGAATTGCAAGAACTTCAGTTTGAATTGCCAAAGTTGCCAACACCTTGTGCCTACTTTTGAACTCTGGCCCTTGTCTTGACATGATCATCCAGCCAATACCAGCTTCCCATTGGAAGGGAAGGGAAGAATTATGAGTTTTCCTTCCAAATCTGTTTATTGTTGGAGAGATTAATTTCTTAGAATTTAATTTCTCCATTTCTCTCCCCTTCAATTCCCTTCCTCATTTTCTATCCAAATGGAAGATGATCCATCCCTACATTTCCCTTCCCTTCCTTTCTCTCCATTTCCTTCAATCCAAACAAAGTGTTGATATTTGATGTAATCTATATCTTTGTCATATAGAGTATTGGTCAATCATTGATATTATTGTTTTCTTCTGTTATATTTACATGAATGTATATATATTTTTTATTTCTGTCAAGATGTGTACTTGTATCCTATGATGATGGAACACTACGGATGCTTAGTATATCACGAGCTGCATATGATGTTCCTGTTACTGGACAGCCTTTTAGTGGAACGCAGCAACAAGGATTGCACAGTTATCATTGCTCAGCATTTGCCGTTTGGAACATTCATGTGTCACGACTAACAGGTGATTCCGTATTTTATATTTTATGGCAAGTTTTTAATTTCATCATAACTAGATCTTTTGAACTCATCTTATGCACCTCAGACTTTTTAATCTATAGCTTGGAGTTGATGGATACTTGCTTAATATTCGCCTTTAAAGATCTCCCATGCTCCTAACATTCTGGGTCAAGCGATCTCTTTATGTTTTCTTATTATATAAATTATTAAAAAAAAAAAAAGTTACTGTTTTCTTAAATGGTGTATATAAATCCCCTGACCACTTCCAGGTTAAATAAAATGTCAATCAGGAAGATTTCTCCTACTAGTATATTTTCATCAGAGTTCAACACATGCGATACGTGATTTATACTTCCTGTTTTTTTTATTTCCCTAAATTTCCTTTTTCCCTTAATTTGAGTGTGATACATTCTCTTCTTCTGTTGTGAGGCCCAAGGAGAGGGAGGAGAGAAAGGGACTTGGGCCTCTAAGGCTTGGCTGGAGGACTCATAACGGGTCAGGTCATTTATCCTACCTATCTGAAAAGAATAAGAGGGACATCTTCCATTTTAACATTTATTTTGTACATATTAGAAAAAATGTGGTCAAAATTAATAGTGTAAAAGTCAAACTGTTGCAATTATAGGAACCGGAGGAAGTATTAAGTAAAGCCAATGCTTAGGATGGTGATATCCAAATTAGTTTTACATGATCATTGAAAAAAGTTACCATAGAATCCTAGATCCTTTCAAAGTTCATTTATGAAAGCGGTATAACCGTATAAAAATTTAAACTAATTGATCTAAATGTCACAAATATACTACAAATTGTAAACAGATACAAGGATCAGGTGAACTCGTACACAATTATATTCACAACACTTGCAATTCTTTTCTAGAGATCAACACATTACTTTCCACTAAAGCCTTATCCATGTAACTCAATGACACCTGCACAAGCAACTTGCTTTACCATGTCTACCCTTCTCCCTTTTTTCTTCCTTAGGAGTCATGAAAAGCAAAAGAAAAATACCAATGAAATGAGAGATATTAATGGTCAAAGTTATGCTTTGGCAAGTGTGCCAGTCAAATTGTTGCAATTTTAAGGAAATGAGGAACTATAAGAAATTACCTTCAAAGGCTCTCTATGATAGAGTGATAGTTGTTTAAGCATTTGAGGTTGGTGGGATGGAGGAGAGGTAAATTTTCTTAAAACATAATTTGGAAAAAAAATGATATACTTCCTCCAACCCAAATTGGATGACACAGTTTGATTTTGTGCACTATTCACATAACTTGTTTTGACTTCATTTTGTGATTACGTGCTGAGAAAAAGTAGTCATATGGGGTCTTGTTAGATTCGTCTTAGCATCTATTTTTTTAATATTAAATTTTTATAATTTTTGTTAATATGTAATCAAGGATATTTGCATTAGAATATATGCATTGGCAACGTGCCTAAATGAAATGTGTCATCCAATATGAAGAGGAGGAAGTACAAGATTACAAGGGAGGGATACTTGGCAAAAACTTGTATAAAAATGTAGTGAAATTTAAATTTTTATTGAGAAAAAATGATAAATGAGAGAGGTGTAAACTAGCTAGTCATAACTCATAAGCACTCGCCTCATTTTTTTCCCAATATAGCCTGATATATCGATGTTTGTGCAGCTATCCTTCTCTAATATTGACATTATTTTCTTACGTAGGGATGGTTGCATATTGCTGTGCAGATGGAACTGTACTCTATTTTCAGGTAAGATGCACCTTCAATTACCAATAACTTCATTCTTGCTGTTTTCTGTTCTTTTGATGGTTACTTAGATTATTATGTATTGTTCCTTGATTGGAAACATGATTTAGACATCCCATCACTAGTTTTCACTTTTATCTGCAGTTGTCTGTTCCTCTGAGAAGAGTAAACACTTATATAATCCAAGTTTTCTGTTCAACTCACTGATTTGCTTCAATAATTTCTTCTAGTGTTATCTTGTTGTCTTTACTACTATTTTTGTGAAGTGTTTTCTACTGTGGATCTTCTGTAACCCTCCTCTCTACTAATTTTGTCTTGTCGAATGCTGTTTACATCTTATCTCCCTAGTACCCTCTTCAATAGTTCTTCTTCTAAAGAAATGTTCTAGATGAATGCTTGTTTAAAATGCCAGTCTGTTGTGTGTAGATCTCAGCATACTTGTTTTTCTGTGAATGGCCATCATTACCTTTTCAATCATGTCAAGTTGACTCACCTGCTTATCAACTTAGCCAGAACTCGTCAGATCTGGTTGAGCTTGAGAAGAGTGATCTGATCAAGTGAATTGTTCTGTCTACCCGTTATTTGAACTCAGAAGTTCCAGTTGGAGCTTCTCCTTTGAGCTTTAAGAATCTATGTAGGGTTTCTAAGGAACTCATCAGTTTTCTAGGCATTAGTGTTTGCTTAAGTTGTAGTGTCAGGGTCCTCCTAGCTCAACCAGAAGCTTGGCCTTGAAATCTTAGGCACTAGTGTAGAAGTGTTGAACAATTGGATTTTGTTCTCTTTTAAAGGCTCTTTTGTTTAGGTAGGGAAGCTGCTTTAAAATAACTGTTTTTCTTTCGAAATTATATTAGAGAAGTTTTTCCGTTGTAGCTAATCCTTATTGTTTTGGTGTTACTAGCTAACACATAAAGCAGTGGACAAAGATCCATTGAGAAATCGGGCCCCACATTTTATCTGCAGTTCATTTTCAAGTGAAGAATCAGCAGTCACTATGAACACTCAATTACCAAGTTCTCCACAGCCAATGAGAAAGTCAGCAACTGAATGGGCAAATACGCCTAGACCTGCAAGAACTGTTGCAACGGGTTTAAATCAGGCTAAAAGGACTAGAAAAGGGACTGGAAAAGGCCAAAAACCAGATGATCAGGTTCTTGGTAAGCTGCTCATCTTGTTTATTCCTTGTATCTGGGACTATTCTGTCATCTACATAATTGCAACTTCCCACAATAATGCAGCATTGTGTTACGGTGATGATGCTGGAGGTGTAGACACAAATGAGGCTCAGACGAGTGTGAAAGGTGGAAAAGGAAAATCAATCAAATCGAGAAAGGCTAGTGATGATCAAGCACTGGTATGTGCTGATAGAGATGGGGATAATGTTGATGGAAAACCAGAGCCCAAAGCAGTTGCTGAAATCGAAGTTTTCCCTCCAAAGGCAGTCTCTATGAATAAAGTGAGATGGAACATGAATAAGGGAAGTGAGAAATGGTTGTGCTATGGTGGAGCAGCTGGAATAGTGCGGTGTCAGGAGATATTTGCCCCTGAGTTTGATAAGAAACTTTTAAGGAGGTAAACTCCGAGGTTTAATTTCTGTTTGTAGAGTGGTAGGTTTGTATATAATTTGGGATACTAGTCTATGCAATTATTCTGCCCTTCAGTATTAGGTCTCCACTTCTCTTATCTAACATAGAAAAAAATTTACTCCCCGACTCCCCACTCTCAAGTTGAACTGGCAAAAGTCATGCCGTGTCGTATTCGTGTTTGACCTCGTATCAATTTCGTGTTGTTCACAAAATCTATAAAAAACTTTGTAAAATGTAGGATAATTGCGTAATTTAACCACTTTATCTAAACAGGTCGTGTTCGGGTTAGTTTCGTGGTGTCGATTTTGTGTTTTCTCTCAATAATTTTGTGTTCGTGTTGTGTCGATTTCGATCGTGTTGTGTCAAAAATTGCCAGCTCGATTTTAGCTCCTTCAAAGGGTGTAACTTTATCTATAAATTTTATAATGTTTATATATAAATATATTGAAGTAACTTTGATCATTTTAGGTAACTTTGCACATGTATGGTAAAACCGCTGCATATAAGTTTAATTTAATCTACTCTTGGTATTAAATGGATTAGCCATCTACCTAATCAAACAATTTTGGTAAGTGTTTTTACTTTTCCTTTTTCTTTTAACTTTTGAACATTGTGTGTAGCTCACTTTTAAAGTTTTGTACTATTATAGTTTTTATAAATTTCTACTCCGTATTTTTTTTTTTTTTAGAAAATTTGTCAATAATAAACCAATCTTTACGTGGTTAGTTCAAAATAAGCCAACCTTTCAATTAACTCAAAATAAGTCGATTTTTAAGCTATCTTCTCAAAATGAGTCAAAACCTGTTAAATTAAAAGTGAACCAGTTGTTAAGATAAATAATGACACGTGTCATTATGTGGTTGGTCCATTCTTTATTATTGATTAATTATTAAAAAAAATCAAATTACAATAAATAATAATATCAAATAAATAAAATAAACGAAATTTTTTTTTTTTTTTGAAAATCGAAAAAATCCAATCACCACCCACTGGCCACTGCTAGCCCCCCTCTCCCTTCTAGTGGCCGTCGACCGACGACTACCTCCTTCCCCCGTCACCGGCGATCCTATCCCCTCCATTTCCCCATTCTCGTCCCTAAACCCAACATCCAAACCCTAAACCCAAACCCGGAAACCACCTAAACGAAACCCAAACTCGTTTAAGGTAGTTTCGGGGGTTGGGTTTAGGGGTGATGAATCTGGGTGGGAAAGGGGAGGAGGGTCGATTTAGGTGGGGGACGGGGAGGGGGCAATTTTGAAAGGGGGAAATGGGTGGTGTCGAGGTAGTGGGAGGGGAAACCGGGAATGGGTAAAAGGGAGGGGTAGGGTGTCGTGGGTGGGGAGTGGGGTCACCGGCGCCGAGGGATGGAGGTGGTCGTCGGCGCCAGGGATGGAAGTGGTCGTCGACGTCGATCGCTTGCAGGAGCTAGCAGTGATACTAGGGAAGGGGGTGGCTGGTTTTTTTTTTTTTTTTTTTTTAAAAAAAAAAAAATGTTTATTTGTTTTTATCCAAATGATTTGTCTATTTAATATAATTATAGTTAAATACTTAATTAAATTTAATAAAGTGTTTTTAATTAAAAGAATGACATGTTTGGTAAGTTGTAGGTCATTTGGCCCATTAAAAGAAAAATACCTCTTAAAAGTCTGCTTATTTTGAGTTAATCGAAAGGTTGACTTATTTTGACAAATTTTCTTTTTTCTTTTAAAAAACTTTTATGGTTGTTTTGTCTAACAAATTGACCTTCTTTCCTACGATTGTTACCAGTTTACCACAGACTTTCCAAAGAAGTTGCTTTAGATGATTTTGTTTTAATTAGTATTACTCCTTAGTTAATCAATCTTAATTCACCTAAACCAATTAGTTGTTGGTGGCTTGGTGCAGTGGTGATTGGGAATGCACTTGGTAGGAAGGATCGCATGTTCAATCCCTCGCAACAACAATTGGGAGGGGACTGGACCTTAACCACCCAAAAATGAGCTCCAAATCCGGATCTGCCCAAAAGGTGAACCGGGTGGGAACAACAACATAAAAAAAAAAAAAAAAAAAAAAATAAAATAAATAAATCACTTGAAAAATAAATGTAATGATATATAGTTCTTCATACAAGTATAGTTTTTTTTTTTTTTTTTTTTTTTTTTTAAGGGGTAAGTAATTAACACTATATTTTGTGTCAAAAAGAAACTTAAGTGACGATTATTATATTAATGCAATGCATGGGTCTTGGGTCTTTATTGATATTCGATTTATATACAGTATTTTATTTTGTCTCATAACTCAATGTTAATGTATCATCTATAATATTATTTAAAACTCAAAGGGACAATATGGTATTGACATGTGTTATCCTCTCTCATCATGACTTGGAGCCACATAAGTAATGACATGGCAAACCTCATAAGACCTTTCATATAAGCTATATTATTATATATTGTGTCTATTCAAGCACTCTAATAATAGATACCTTATTATTTAGCAATAATTAACAATAAGCATAAATAAAATTTATTTTACATGAAAAACTCCATATATTTAACCTTTCAATTTAAATAACTATCTATTATATGTAAACAACTTGGTCATTTTTATAGCATTGTTTATTCAATTGAAATTTCATTACAAGTTACATAATATCACTCATGATGTTGTATTAAAATATTTAAGTCCTTTTCAAAAAGAAACATGTGTATTTAATGATAAAAATGTAGTTATAGAGTGTGAGATATATAATATCAATAGTATGGATATCAAAATAACAAAGATGTGATTCATTCTATTGATGCAAAATTAAGAGAAAATGTTATTTTTTTTCATTCACTCATTAACATCGTTGAAAATCAATCCCTTTAAATTTAAGTTTGATCAAACTCACATGATCATAATTTATAATGATTCGGGACATCGCCCGAGCCAATAATTAGTTTTAGTTAATAAAAAAAAAATGTATCATTTATAGAAATTGTTCATACTAGTACAGTAGTACGTACATATCTCGATTCTTACTCATTTTTAGCTAATACTTTTTTAAAAAAAAAAATACTTTCAGTAACATTATTTTTTTTATTGATATATCTTATATATAATTAAAATTTAATATTTAATTTGCATTTATCTGATCTGTTTAAAATTAACAATTACTCCTTATTCGTATAAGATTATATCATAATCATAACATTTTGTTCCAAATAAAATACAATGTCCTAAATTTCATATTTGGAGAAGTTTATTTCAATTCTTTATGCCCAATTCATGTATAAAGTACTATAATATGGAGTATTAGCTAGATTAGATTATGGGCCACATTCAACAAATTAATACTGATTTTTAGCAGATATCAATTTCTGAAACAGTCCTTCCGATGTGCAAGGGGAGACTGATTTCTTCATTTTAAGTAAATTATTATTATTAATATTATTATTATTATTATTATTATTATTATTATTATTATTATTTATTATTTTTCGATCCTGAATGAAAGCCAAGATTAACTCTACTCAGCTGCCTCGTCAACTCTTATAAATACCGTTATTCCATTTTTTTTTAAAAAAATCAATATCAATGCTTAGTTAGTCATAAACAAATCCTCTCACTTTTCCTGATTGTATGTGTATTGAGAAAAAAGTAAGAGACTGAGAGTAGAAAAATGAACAATTTTGTTCTTCTTTTATTCTTCACAAATCTTGGAGTTACGTTGATCAAGGGATCAAACCACAATAATAATGAAAGAAAGGTATGTACATGTATGTAAGCACCAAAATTGTAACATTTGGTTGTGACATTCACCAATCACCATGTTTAAATTGTGTAATTACTTTGTTGAAATTTACTTCGTATTTTTAAAAAGTATCTCTTGTTGTGATTGGAAGTAGTAATTTGGCAATTAAGTATAGTTATATGATAGTTTAATGTGAAAACTCTTCATCAAGTACTCTTACGTTATTTTTATTTATTTGATAATGTTCTTATATATTATATATAACACTAAATGTCATTAATTTAATTATTGTTGGGTTAATAATAATGTGTAACTCTTTCCGTCAAATAAAATAAAATAAAATAATGTGTAACTCTTATAGATGTAGAATTCGATTACAACTTACTATTGGAGTAAACAATACACACTACTATTTGTTTTACTAATGTCACGCACCCATTTTTAAAATTTTGTTTTCATATGCATGATTCAGCAAGGTTTATCGAAAATTCAGTGTGTTAAATACAAAGAGAAAGTCTAGGTACAAATATCTAAGTTCTATTAAAAAATTTAAAAGTTGAGAAATTTGTGAATGATCAGTTTACTTGTCCATTTAAAACGGTAAAAAAAATTGGTTTGTTTGTGAAAAATTACGTGAAAAAACAGTGTTTGATCATATATTTGCATGCATTTTCCTCATTTTACACAGTAAACTATGAAATGTGTCGTGTAAATCATTTGCATTTAATAGGTTGCATTTTTTTCTCTTTAATAGTTAACTAGTGTACGGCCCGAGTGTTGCACCGGGTTACAACTTTGATTAATTTTTTTTCTTTATGAATTTTTTTTTATCATACTGTTTTTCATATATATATATATATATATATATATATATATATATATATATATATATATATATATATATATATATATATATATATATATATATCCTTTTTGTCAACTATATGTATTATAATTGTGGTATTATGATTTATGAATTGATTAAAGCATAGGTTGTTTGAGTTTGTTGTGCACAAATGTTAAACATAATGTTACTAATTAACATTTAAAAAAAATGCTATTAATTAACAAAAAGTATAGGAAGACAATTTTTAACTCTCCATTATTTGGAAAATGCTGATTATATTCCTCTTAATTTTTTTTTATCCCGAGTTGCATATCTAGGTTTTTTATTTTTTATTTTGTGCCTACCATTTATAGTTGTATTTAATTACAAAGATGACATAATTTTTATTATTGGCTAAAATGGTAAGAGTGTGATCTTGTTTCCCTAAGGTTTAGTGTTTGAAATCCATGATTGAGTGATAGATGACATGGCACAATGCTTGTTAAGGATGGAATGATGCGGCACATGAACGCTTTTTAATACTACATCTGTTTTTTTTTAGTTGACATGTTTTGACTTTAGCACTATTCACACACTTTTCTTTGACCGTGTTTAATTTTGTGATTTATACGTAATGAAAAATATAGTCATGAGGGGTTTTGTGATTTATAATTTTTGCTTATCGGTAATAATTAAAGATATTAACGGTTGAATTTGTGCATAAAGAAATGTGTCAACTAAAAAGAAATGGAGGAAGTATATAAAAGTATAGATAAGCTTTCACATTTAACAATCTATACATATGAAGGAAAAAAAAAAAAAATTCTACCATTAAAATTTCAAAAAAATTAAAATTGATTAAATTTAAAACTGAGATAACAAAAAAACTAATATGATTTATATTTCTTTGTTTTGGACTAACTTTGATATAATGATAGCCATACATAGTATACATGGGGGAGTTGTCAAGCGGACTTGAACAACTAGCAGTTGAGTCGCATCATCACAATTTGCTTGCTGAAACCATTGGAGAGTATGTTCTTTTTTTCCTCTACAAATATATTTGTGAATACATTAACAACAATTATAAACAATCACCCAATTTAAGAAACATTTTTTTTTTTTTTTTTTACATTTGAAAAAAAATCAGTGAAAGTGTGGCCAAGGCAGCTAAGATACATAGCTATGGTAGGAGTATTAACGGATTTGCGGCAAGATTATTGCCTAGTGAGGCACAAAGGTTATCAGGTACTTAAGAATATGACGGATTTCAATTTCATGTCTGACTAGTTATCTTAGCTAGGGTGGTTAATATATTGTTACACATATATATGATCAATGGAATACACACTTGATGAATTGGAAAATGCAGAGAAAAGCAATGTAGTATCGGTATTTCCAAGCACGATACGAAAACTTCTCACAACAAGATCATGGGATTTCTTGGGAATGCCTGAAAATTTGAAGAAAGTGACGTTATCGTAGGGCTGTTGGACACAGGTTACTTCTTATTTTTTATTTTTATGCTGTTTTTTGTTTGATTCATTTTTGTTTAAATGACATTTTTTTGTCATGTACTCGTACTTGGTATAACACAGGTTCATGTTATTATACTATTTGTACATTATTTTTTTTCTTTGAAATATATTTTTTATGGTACGTACAAGGTACAAACTTGCTTTGTGTTCATAGGGATTTATGTTGAAGCGCCAAGCTTCAATGACGAAGGATATGGTCCTCCCCCGACCAAGTGGAAGGGAAAATGTGATACGGGCAAAAATTTCACCGGATGTAACAGGTCAATTTAACTTTTTAAATATGCTCGTTTAAGTGAACTGATTTTTTTTAATAAGGGAAATATTTTATAATAAGGGTCAAATGTTAAGGTAAGGTCAATCCATAACTTGCTTAAGTTATACTTCGTAGGAAGGTGATAGGAGCAAGGTACTACAACCTAGGAGAAGACACAGGAATGAAACCCACCCCAGTCGACAACGAAGGGCACGGAACTCACACAGCATCAACAGCAGCAGGGAGGTCCGTAGAGGGAGCAAGCTTATACGGTGTAGCTAAGGGAACAGTTCGAGGCGGGGTGCCTAGTGGGCGCATTGCCATGTATAAAGTGTGTGGCAGTGTAGGGTGTTCGGACACCAACATCTTAGCTGCATTCGACGATGCAATTGCTGATGGAGTCGATATCATATCGTTCTCCATTGGCGGTCCTGTGAGGAACTTCTCGAAAGATATCTTAGCCATCGGTTCATTTCACGCCACGAAGAAGGGGATTTTGACAGTCTGTGCTGCGGGAAATGACGGACCTTATAGAGGGACTGTAGGCAATGTGGCTCCTTGGGTTTTGACTGTTGCTGCTACCAATTTAGTTAAATCACAAACCAATGCAGTTTTTTTTTTTTTTTTTGGTGTGTACGTACTGCAGCTAAACCTGTGAATGGTAATAGCTCAGAGGATCCATTGAACTCAGGAGCCGGGCTGCTTAACCCTGTTGATGCAGTTCATCCAGGCCTAGTCTACGACATCTCACCAAAGGATTACATTCGGTACCTATGCTTTGAAGGTTACAATGAAAGCGCGCTATCCCTTATCCATGGAACAGAAAACAGTACAAACCACTACAACTGCTCGAAATTCAAACAAGGCATTGGGGCTGATGGCCTAAACTATCCTTCGATGCACCTTCAACTTGCTGTTAATGCCACAAGAATTTCAGGAGTCTTTCTTCGGACTGTAACCTATGTAGGACACGGTGCAGCAGTTTACAAAGCCCAAGTGACATCGCCGAATAAGGGTGTGTCTATCAAAGTCATTCCTGATGTCTTGATATTCACAAAGGCGCGCCAGAAAAGGTCTTTCAACGTCATGGTGAAAGGGACTGTAACTGATCCTACTTCTACTTCATTCTTAGATGATTGGTGGGAACCTACAATCTACACTCATAATTCATTCTTAGAGTGGGTTGAGTCTAGCTCTAATCATAGAGTTAGAAGCCCTATTGTGATCTACCGGCCATACAATTGAGAAATCGGATTTTTGAAACTAGTTAGAATTGGTAATGTAGTGTTTTGAGGGCTTGTAGGTTGCTAGTTAGTCGTTAATGGTACATTTTTTCGTCTGTAAATTTGAACTGGCATTGGAATAATGTATGAAATTTAAGAATAAATTACTAATAACAAAAGAATACAAGAGGGTATCAGGGTGGTAAGCTCCTCCACAGGCTCCACCTTCCACCCTCGTTGTAGATGGGCATGGGTGAGGTTGTAGATGGGCTAAGCGGAAACCTGGGATAGGTGGTTCAACTAGCAACGAGTTGTTATATAGCTGAAAATCTCTAGAGAGGTCACTTATATGTAGTCTCTAACCCCTAACTAGTAGATTTAGCAACCAACATCGCAAAATTTGTTAAACATCTAATATACAAAAATCACAGAGCAGAGTTTATGCAGAACAACTCCTATATGCAAAATAAACTTGGAACCAACTAATTGCTTCAAGTCTTAAACTCGGTTACTTTGAACAACAACCGTAAACTGAACTACATAAACATGTTCTTCGCTAAACAACACTCTTCATACAAAATGTTCATAATCCATACCAACTGTTGTAAGCCATTAAACGCTTACAATACCATGGTACTACTAATACAAAGCTCTTCATACAAAATGTTCTTTTATTCGCCCATGGAAACAACTCCATGCTAACCGCTGCAAGACACTTTAGCCTGGTTCAACCAGAAAGGCGCAGCATTAGTTCTACTGTCGAGCATTGTTCCGAGAGGAAAGAAGCCATTTATCCTTTCAAGAGATAAAAAAAATTCATCAGTTAATTAGAAACACTAAAATACAAGCTCAATAGTTTATTTCTCAGCTACTTTCTCATCCTATTAATTGGCAGTGAAGGCGGCTCTTTAGTTTCATCAGCTCCTTCCGTTTTTTTCTGGCCTCTGCTCCTGCAACATTCCTCTCCCTCGTTTTTAGAACACGCTCTTTCCTTTTTTCCGTTAAAGCACTTGCAGACTCTATACATGCTGCTGAAGAAACATTCGTATTAACTAGTGTGTGCGGAGTGACACAATCCTCTCGTTCTAGAGCAAAATCACCTCTTGAGCAACACGGTATCATCTTTTGACCCCCTCCGTCTAGAGATAGTCCAAATGGGAATCGATGGAAACCATTTCTGCAATCGTCTTGTGTTGATGGAAGACCACTACTTATTCTATCTGCAGGACTAACTAACTGACAGTTGTGTACGCAACGTATAACTGAAGATGGACTATAATCTGAAGATGGACTATGAACATGATTAGAATCAACTGAAGTGCCTTCATCACTATCTTTCACATGTAAAGAAGAAAAATTCTTGATATCATGTATTGGAAGGAACACAGGGCAGGGTAATATACACCAAGGCATATTTTGGCCATTAATACTCCGAGGATTTTCCTGCTCGGAGAAGCTGCAAGGACTTAAATTTGAAACGTTCAAGTCTGAAGGCGGCAAAGATGCAGGGATTACAAAGGTGCTTGCAGATAACTTCTTGTACACAAACTGTGCCCAATTTGCTGAATGAGGGTTAACGTTATGAGTATCGGGACAAGATGGTTGATGAGCTTCACCTTTATTCTCTCCAAGTTTGAAGCCTAATGTTTGAGATAACTGCATAACACTAATGAAATGTAAAGTACATCCTTATAACCTTATATCAAAAGCATGTAACAAAATCTTGTGCTATTTGATGTTATGTTGTAAATATATACCTGTCCTTTTAGCTTTTGGTTGGTAGTTTGTAGAGACTGAAACTCCTTGACAGCCAAATCCTTGTTCTTTTGAAGATTAAAGATAAGATGCAAGAAACCGAGGGAACGATGTCAGTTTATGGAGATACGCTGAAACTATAGAGATACACTTTTTGTACCAAGGTCATGAAGCAAACGAAAAAAAAATATTTACTTACTCTTTTTAATCTTTCATTTTCTGATGCTTGTTCTGCGGCTTTTCTTGTAAGTTCCTCGTGAAAAGCCTGAAACAAACATTAAGTGAGTAATTGAGATTTAGAGATCAAAACCACCAAAGCCTGCCTAAGCTTAAACATGCATGTATTTCTGAATATATACATATGATAGTTGATACTTATGAAAAGAGGCCATATATACAATACTTATGGAAAAAGAAATACCTGTCTCCTGCGAATAGTTTGTCGTGCAGACTCCCTATTAGCTAATATCCTGCGTATTCTTCGTGCTTCCTTCTCTGCCTAAATCATTCAGAATAGCGTATTACGAATGTGAATATAAAGGCAAACTAGATCGCTACATACTGTCAAAAACAATCATGGAAGTAAAGGTTAATTAGATCACCATTATGTCTTGACCTCTGTCATATACCTCAGTCAGATTATGCCTAGACCTCCCAGTATTATGTGCTGAATTGCAAACACGGCCACGTTCAGTGGATTCGTAGCTCTTTTCAGGTTTTACATCAACACTTAGACACTCCTCTTGAAATATATTAGGCTGATCCTACACAAATGAAACATGTTAAACAGTCTTGCACAGTTGCACTGTATAATTCTATCATTCGTAGTGTAAATAATTTTAATTACCACAAACTCTTACAAGTTACAACAAAATCTAATTAAAAACAGTGAACATAGTGATGTACTCAGAAAATCTGGAACCCTTTATGAAAGTAGAGTAGTCAATTACGACAAACTCTTACACGGTTGTTATTATATTAAAAGCAAAACCAGTGCTATACACATGAAGTCGGACTGGTAGTTACGTCGCATTATCACAACTATGAACTATACGTAACTAGTTTTGATGTAGAATTTGTCCAAATCATCTCAATGTTATTTTCAAAGGTAACTTTGTCTTTTACATTTTACTAGTTAATTATTAACTATAAATGATTTAATTAGTCCACTGTCTAAGTGTCAAAGTCAAAACATTGCGATGATTAAAAAAAGTTATCTCATTTTTGCAATTGAACTACCATGTAAGACCCAAAATAAATAAACATGCCTAATATTCTTTTCGGGTGCACCAACCACGCGTTACAAACTATTATAGTGTCGCACTAAATAAAAAAAATTTAGGCATCATCAGAACAATCTTAATTACACAAACAAACTAAATAGACTTCACCTGTTACATTTATTTGAAAGGTTAATCTTTTTAATAGTTCATATTGATTTAAACTGAGATCGTCTCATCTAAAACAATCTTCTTAATTATTTAAAAATACTATTTTTTTTTAAAGATAAAGATACTTTTTAAACTAGACCTTCTTACAAGTCAATATTAACTATATAAGTCAACTCTTGCAAAAAAAAAGTTTATAAAATCTCTTACTTTTTGAGGTCACAAGCATGGTGAAAAATTATTATGTCTATACTCTATAGTCTATACTCTATACTTCCTCCATTTGAAATTTAATTTTAATTAAGCTAGTATACATTAAACAGATCTAATAAAATTTCATACGATTGTGATTTATCACATCCATAAATCACAAACGGTAATCAAAGTCAAGTTTTTAAATATTATTAAAAGTCAATACGTATCAACTAATTTAAAACTATTGCTTACCCCATGCCCTTTGGAACCCACATACTTCATGCTCAAACAACCACTTGTCACCCTATAACTTTCTACTGTTACAATATGACTACAAGTCTACTACAAATAGTTTTTGCAACCGTCATATATACAAAGTACGAGAAAATCTTACATCTTATGTCCCTATCATAAAACTATTGTACCTCGCATTTAATTTCAACTTGTTAAAAATTAGTGCAACATAGATTGCATGCATGTAACAATAAAAGATAACAAAAAAAAATAAAAATAAAAAAGAATAAGAAAAAGAGAAAGATTAAATAAAGTACCACGTTAAGATCGAAAGGCAAAGGAGAAACAGAAGGAGAAGAAGAATGAAGTGATGAAGACGACTCTTTAACACGCTTGTTACTCATCCACCGCTTCCCTTTACTCCCCCAACAATTATTATTACCACCACCATCACCACCACCTTGACCTACCGACTCGCCGCTGCGGCCACCACTACTTCCTCTCATCTCCTCCACTGCCACGGCCGCAGCGGCGCTATAGTTCTTCCTTAAACTCGCCAAAACCCTTGCTATTTCAAACTCTCCGGATCCTCCTCCAGAAGAAGAACCACTAGACTCACCATCATTATTATTATGTGAACTCATCATCATAATTATTTTAATTTATTTCAGATCTTTATCAGTACAAAACCTATATGACTAGGTACAAATAAGTATATATATGTATATAAATATTATTTATAACATATGATAAGATATTATGATGATAATATTGTTTGTTATTGACAAAAGAAGGTAGGATGAAGATATATGAATAAATGGTGCAACAAAAAATGTATGGTTTTTATAGGAGGTAGCATGGAAAAATAAAATAATTGTTTAGAGAAGAGAGAGAAAATGGTGATGACTGCTGGGCGGCAGAAGGTCGGGGTGTTAAAGGCGGGTGGAAAAGCCAGGTGTATAACTCCATTTCTATGTTGACACATGTGGACTGTTGGCACTTTCAGGCTATCTCTCGCCGCCACGTGTCCTTTTGTCCACGCTGGCACACTTCTTCGTTTGTTGTTCCATAACATGCTACCCCCTCTCTCTCCATATCTTCGGATAATGTTATCTCTTTATTACTTCTTTTAATTAACCTCCTATTGTATGTCTTCCGATAATGTTGTCTTTTACTTGCAACATTTTGAATTACACATATTCTAATTTATTGTTAGATGTGATTAGAAGAGCTGAATATATAAAATTGAATACCATGTACAAGAGCCACGACCAAGCTTCCTAATATAGATTGGTTTTTAACCAATCTGTTTCGGGGTTTTCTGATGTCCTGCGGGAGAGTTACAATTCCGAGACTGGAACCGGACGCATGTACCTGCAAAATAAACGGATGCTCCGGATGATTGGAGATCCGCCTCCGACGGTCAAGTTAGTACTTGATTAAGGAGTAATTAATGCGGAAATTAAAGTGATTGGGTCTCTCTAGGTGAGAGTGTTTAATGTGTGTAATCTGCGTTTTTAGCGTGTTATCTCCCTTAATGAGGATTAAGGGAGGTATTTATAACCTCGGGAAACGTGTCAATCTAGGTTTAGGTTAACCTTGGGCTGATTGGGCTTCCCTCGGGAGTTGGGCCTAGGTGACCGGTTATCCCAGGTGTCATGGGAAGGACACGTGTCGTGTCGTAATTGGTCCATGGTGGACGGATCATTGCTTGACACGTGGCAGGCTCCTATTGGCCCATGTGACGGACACATGGCGGAACCTGATTGGTCCACTTGTCAGATGGTGATTGGTGGGGAAAAATCCCCTAATCACAATCCATTCCAAATTAATCTGTGGAATAACCCACCGGTAACATACAATTGTAGAAGTAGGATCTTTGGCAAGCACTAATAAGCAAATTTATGTACAGAACTTTGATAAGTTGACTACGGTCATGGGTAGTCCGATAGATCCATTCAATTTTGGAGTATACATGATTTGTGTAAGAGATTCAGAATCTAATTCTACCTCATTCAAAACTAATTCGATTCAAATTTCAACTTGTGTGGACACAATGATTTACTATAACAGTTACTCAAATTTGAACTAGACATGACCCAATTTAACCCAATCTGACATAACCGAACATGAACCAATTATCCGAATTACACTTCTAGTAAGAGGAATTGATGGGGCAACCTATACAAACAATGTGGGCATCTTTGTTTTAGTGAAAGCATACTTAACTAGCTAGGATGCATGGTAGTGGTTTTAAGATGGACAATGTCCTACCTTCCTTAGGTGCACACAACTGCACATAATTAGATCAGAGTAGACAAATGAGTTTTATGATCATACTACCTCCGGGTTTTTTTTAGTCGATACTTTTTTACTTTAGCACTATTAACTCACTCCCCTTTGACTGTATTTTGTACTTTATACGTAATGAAAAATATAGTCATATGTGATCTTGTTAGATTCGTCACGATATATATTTTCAAAATATCAACTTTTTATAATTTTTGTTTATCAGTAATTAAAGATATTAATGGTTGAAGTTGTGCATTGACAAACGTAACTAAAGAAACTGTCAACTAAAAAGAAACGGAGGAAGTATATAATAACTCAGATGTAGGGGTGTGCAAAAAAGGACCCACAAATTGGTGATTCCGGGTTTTCGGTCCAGTCCGGGTAAAAACCGGAATATTCAGTCCGAACCGGAATGGACCGGAAAATGTTTTTTTTTTTTTTTGTGGGTGAAAAATTTAAATTTTATATTTAAATTTTTAAAAAATTTAGGTACAAAACTTGTAATTTATAAATCCTAGGTGCAAAATAGAAAAGCACGCAAACAAAAAACAAGACGTTAAAAAATATGTATGTATAAAGATATTAAAATGCAAAAAAAAGAAAAAAAAAATATAACAGGTCCATTCCGATCTAAAATCGGACCGGACCGAAATAAACAGGTCTAGATCGAAACCTATATCGATTGATTACGGTCCGGCCGGTCCGATTTTGGACTGATGCACAGCCCTACTCATATGTAGTTAGACTATAGAAAATCTCTAAACATATATTCCAAAATTATACATGTAACATATTTTAGACTTTTTAGTTAACCCTTACAGTGTTCCTTTAAATCGTAGGAAACCTCTTGACATAAATAAAAACAAAAATGCAGTGAAAGAAAATTTTACTACATTTTCATTACGGTACGCACACAAATTTAAAAAGAACTTTTGCTTCAATTCGTTGCTTGTTTCATTACAATGGGTTGGCGGTGGCTTCTTATACTGTGCAAGAATAATAATTATTTTATTATTTGTGACACTGGTGACAATAATGTGTTGAATGATACAAGTAATAGATTTGTATTACAAATACAAACAGCTTTTAACACGTAGTTGTAGATAAGTACATTAAACTTATTAGGGTTTCGATTCGATAGGACATATTTAATTATCGGAATTAAAATATCTACATTAGTCAATTGAGATTTAATTTATCACCTTGTGATTAGTAGGTTAATTTCTCTTAATTATTTATATTTGGTGAAACTTTTTAGAGCGTGTTCGGCAAAATATTGCGGTAGATAGAGGTAGCTGTTAGCTATATGTGTAGCTGTCAACTACCTGTAAGCTGTGAAAATGAATAATAAAATATGAGTGTTTAGCAAACTAGCTATTAGCTGTGATATTCTAAAAATATATAGAATTCTTCAGATACCTAACTTTTCACAAAAGTTACTCCAACCACTAAACTCTACTCCTGCCACTACGTTTGCCAAACACTAATATTTTTACTAAGTAATGGTTTGAATAAGTCAAACCACTAAAAGCTACTCAAAAGCTAGTGCTGAATACGCCCCCCTTCGCCCTCACTTTAAAGTGTTTGACACGCAAAAACTAAATCAAAGCATATTCATTTAAGATATTGTTTACCCTTAAATAAGTTTTGCAAGATAATTTACTTTGCAAACTTGTTGGCCCTAATCATCCATCTTATTGGTCGCATGTTCGCCTTCACTTCATATTAGTATAGTATTGTCTGCTTTGGGACATCAATTTAATTTCCAAAAGGTCTCATATAATGGAGTGTGTTTTCACTTATAATAAGAATTTTATGTGATACTTCATACTAAGGGGTCGTTTGGTTTACACAGGGTAAACGGAATGGAATGAACAAAGGGAATGGAAAAGAAAGGAATGAAATTACCTTAAATTTTCTATATTGTTTGTTTTAATAACAAAGGGAAACATTGTCACCAATCCAACCACCACACCACCACCTCATAACTACCTAATTGATTCACTTCCCACCATTTCCAGCCACCCCACCACTCGACGCACCTCCCCCACCACTCGCCACCCTTCGCCGCACCTCCCCCGCCCCTCGCCGCCGCTCCCCGTGCCCGCACAGCTCTCCCCTCCCCTGAAAAATACCCATCACTCCCACTGAAACTTCCCGAGACCACCACCACTCCCACCAAAAACAGTCAATCCTCCATCACTCTCATGTAACTTCCTGAAATCACCACCACTCCCATCAAAACTTTCCAAAACCACCACTTCTTAAGCACCCCATCATGCTCACCCAAAAATACGAGGGCTCCAATACGGAAAAAAAAATTGATTGATTAAGGAGATTCATTACTTGGATCCATGAATATGTTGTTCATTTTCAAAAAGACGACAATTTAGGTCTCAGATCTGGAATTCAAATGCTCAAATAAGGAAAACAAATTAGGGTTCTTGGTGAATTTTGAGGGAAAATTCCAGAATTGAATTTTGAGAGAGAGAAAGAGAGGGGGGTGGTGGTTTTCGCTTGTTTTGGTGGGAGTTGTGGTGTATTCGGTGATTTTCGGTGTGTGTAGTGGTGGTTTTGGCGGTTTTCAGTGGGAATGGTGGTGGTTTCAGTGGGAGCAGTAGTAGTTTTGGTGGTTTTTTGGTGGATGTAGTGGTGGTTTTGGCGGTTTTCAGTGAGAGTGGTGGTGGTTTCAATGGGAGTTGTGGTAATTTTGGTGGGTGTAGTACAGTGGTGACTAGTTGTTTTGGTGGTGGGGAGATTTTCGCTGGGGGTGCCTGGTTGTTCCGAGGGTGGGGGAGGGACGGCGAAGGTGAGGGGAGGGGTTTCGATGAGGAGGCTAGCTGTTCCGGTGGTGGGGAGGGTGGTGGTATTGTGGTAGCTAGGGAATGGAATGAAAATACCTAAGGGGGGTGGGGAATCAACTTGGAGGGATTTAGGGGAATGGAAAGGGTAAAGGGAATGGAAAAAATGGCCTAATAAACAATAACAAAGGGAGTGATTCATGTTGATTCCCATTTCCTTTGATGAATACCCCCAACCAAACGATCCCTAATGGTTTTCATACATTACTCAAAAGTATAGTCGAGTTAGTATATGAATTGTAAAAAAAAAAAAAAAAAAAAAAAAAAAAAAAAAAAAAAAAAAAAATTGAATATCAATCATTAGAGAACAAAGTAAGTAATTGCAATTATTTGAAAAAAGTATGTAGTTAAGTAATACAACGTTATGTTAATTTGAGATTTAAAGGAATATTTCAGTATTTCTATTCAATCAATTATAAAGAAGACTAGTTAAATTTGGGAACCAATTAAAGAAGAACAAGAAATTGGCAAATTATATGGCTGTAGATCAAAGTCTTAAAGCGGTGAAACAGATATGACGAGCTCCAGATGGTTGATTTGTGGCGGCATTCATGGAATTTTGTGCCCTCCTTTCAGTTTACTTTCTTTGGACAACAATTTAGTACACTTTATTTAAATCGAAAAATCAAAAGATAGACCCAACGTCCCAACCTTTAGGTTTGTTATACACATTAACCTTTTTTTTTTTTGTTTTTTGAAGGTAAGAAAAAAAGAGGGCATTAGGAGACCCTCCTCACGAGGGAAATTCTTAATCCATCAAAGGAGAGAATAGTAGAGAGACTAG